AGAGCCCTCAAAGTGGGCTGATAATCCTTTTCCCACCAAAAGCATGCATGTAGAAGCACACAATCTGCTTTATGCATAATTTATTTCTGAGGCTTAGCAATATTAGTCTCTCTGATGAGCTATTGTGATGTACTACCTTTATACTCTTTGGACCGTATGTAATAGCAGTAACTAAGCACACACCCCCACATAAAAATCTGGAAATTCATCAAATAATTTACATTTAGAAGTACCAAAACAAATAACAGAGCATATAATAAAGTCATGACTTAAATTTACTATTTCCCACTTGTGACCAGCTGAATCAAAGCTGAAATCATGTAATTAGCAATTTTACCACAAACATAATACACTGGAGAATAGTGAAGTCACCCTTACTGTCTCAGCTTGCAGCCTGTTTTTTTAAAAGGTGTAGAAACAGTTATGCTTAAAAATCCATTAATAAAGTGGCAGTACATGACTGTAATGCAGAATCAGTTCTACCAGTAACCTGGAACTCCTGATCCATATTGAACTTGATCTGACTAATGCCAGTTGTTTTTGCTTTTAATATCCCTTTGTGTATCACAAGTCAACTGTTCGCTCAGTTGTTCGAATGTCAAAGCTGAAACAGGCTAGTGAGACAACATCTTACACAGAACAGCTTAAAACCCGGGTTTCAGTTTCAAAAGCATTTGGAGTTGCTTAGCTGGGTATCTTTTCCCAGCACTACATTTAGAATTTATTGTTTCCTTATTGTTTGGTACAGTAGAGTGGAGCCTTCTCCAGTAATAAACTTGCTTGCTAGAATCAGATCCTTTTACTCCCTCTTAATCCTGTTCTACATTTGTTCAACCCATTTATGTAGGCCTAGTGATTTTTGGTGTTTTTACAGCAACAGTTATCCTGGATGTGAAGTATTTCACACATTGTGGTGAATGCTATGAAAATATTTTATGTAATTAATTACTGCAATAAGAAGGGTGGTAACTAATCGTTACACACAAACTTTGTGAGGTGTTAAATGTAAAGGGTACTGGTATAATCTTTTTAGTTTAGGTACTTCCATATTACGTGCTGTTAAGGTGATGTCCATTTGATTGACATAATCTTCACAGAGTAGTGAAAGCTCCAAGAACTGGGAAAACACCAAGGAACTTGTACTCCTCTAAAAGATAATGAAAACTGTTCCAATATATATAGATTTAATTTATTTGACTTCTAAAAAAAGAGGATAAAAGGACAAAAATCATTAATCCTCCTTCTCCTTTCTCCATTGCACTGGTTTCTATAGTAAGCCATGGAATGAGGGAAGTTGATGTTTAGCAGAACTTTTATCAATATTCCCATGCATAAACTCTATTCTAATCTTAATCAGTATGGAACACAGACCAGATGGAAAATTATTTCTCCTCACATAAAAATTCTCTCAGAAAAAAAACAATCTTCCACTATGAAAATTGTGGCTAGTATGGTTATTCAGATTTTCACTGAACTATTTTAATTAAAGAATCTATGTAATTACAACAGCCAGAACTTTCAAATATATTCTAAACTGAAACACCACACAATTTTCTTCTAGCGTGACTAGTACAGAGTTTGGCGTTTTATTAAAATATATTTAGCATATACATTTATATAATATAAAATATATTTTATATTATATTTAGCACTGGAACAGGCTGCCCAGGGAGGTCGTGGAGTCCCCTTCTCCAGAGATCTTCAAGACCCGTCTGGATGCAGTCCTGAGTGATGTGCTCTAGGCGTTCCTGCTTTAGCAGGGGAGTTGGACCAGATGATCTCTAGAGGTCCCTTCCAACTCTGACAATTCCCTGATTCTGTGATTAAGGGATTTTTAAGCATCACTATCATTACAAGTTGTTTATTTAAAAAATAAAAAAAAAGTAATTTCCAGGGCAAATTAAACCATTGAATGTACATATTCTGCTTTTAGGTTGCTGGCTTGCCTGTGGTCCTTACCACCATTTGCCACCTGTTTCAATTTCTCACCTTTATTTTTTTAAAATCATCAAAACAATACTCAGGACAAGGTATAATTTTAATCTGTGCCCCTTCACTCCAGCCAAGTTGACTAAGCAACTTAGAAATAGATAAAAGCAGAGCAAACCGGAATACACGTTTTTATGGTGTACGGGAACAAATCAACGCGTTCAAAGGTCAGGCAACTACTCTGACAACCACTTTCCTGACTATATATGGAAAGTAACCATACAAACTATCAGGTATTATTAAAGCAGCTGTGCAAGTGATAAGCCATGAGCACTCTGATATTACATGAAACTACTTAGTACAGCTCAGAGCACCTCCATGCACACCGTCTTGGCTGCTGGCCAGCATATCAACCTGAATAATGTTCATACTTCACAGTTCATGAAGGTATCAAGGAATACACGTGCATTCAAATGCCTTTATCATCACCTGTGCCTTCCTGCAGGACACAGCTGAGATTTAACTGTGGTCACACTAACCACATGGGGGAACACCTCATACACATCCACAAAGCAGATGAGCCCCAAGAAAAACATTAATTCTACCTCAGAATGATCAACAGCAGAGGGAAGTACAATTGACATGCTCTCGTGCTCCGTGACTTGCTGGTCCAAGGCCAAGTCACTCAGTCTCTTGAAATAAACACATTGACCTGCCAAGGTGTGTGGTAAATAAGCAATGGAAGCCAAAGAAGATAGAGGCCTGGGTGTGGAAGAATCATGCAACTATAATCAGCAACAGGACTGCCCAAGTTGTGGGGGAAAGTAACATCAGCTTCAGCAGAAATCTTGGTACTGCCACATACACTGGACGTGATACTCAGCTCTATTTGTCTGTATGAATTTCTCCCTGAGTTCTGTCTGCAGGCTACAAGCTCTGCACACCTAAGAATCACTTCACTGATATGAATTCTGCATTAGAAGAGAAAAGACAGAATGGTCTTAAGGCACACTGTTTTCATTAGCAGTGAGTCACTCTCTCCAGCTGGATGACAATACACCTGCTCCTCCTCCTGAGGCTCAAGAGACATAAAAGTATAAAATAATGGGATGAGGAAGAAACAAGGAGCTGAATTAAGAGTCTATTGGGCTGCTAATCATGTGTTCAAGAAAAGCAAGGAACAAAGATGGGTGTTTCAGTTGGTGTTCCTTTAGAGGATTTGGGAAGGGCTAGGTTTCAAGAGTGCCCATAAAAATGTTTTTATGGGCAGCATCTACAAGACTTCTTACATCCTCACAACACAATAAAGTTGTTATTACGGGCAGTCTTATAAATCCACTGTAGCAGGAAGAACTCAATGATATCGTCAGAAGGCAGCAGATGGGGCTTTACAACTGGAAGGGAAAAAAAGTCTCCTAACTTCACTCCCAGTGAGCAGGGATCAGGAGATCTCTCCAGTGAATCACTGTAAGTACTTATTACAAAAAACAAAAAAACCCCGAATTACATGCTTGATAAACACTTAAAGAAACTGAACCACAAATTTATACAGCATTCTACCTATGAAAATAGAAGCACTTCTAGAATACCTGTATTAATATGAACTCACCATTGACTCAGGAGACTTCCAGGCAGAAGCACTTTTTTTCCCCCATTAATCACCTTGTATGCCCCACTTAAGCTTTGCCAACAACAAAAAAGTCACCCTATGATTCAATAAATGTATTTCTTAGGATTGGAAGCTAAGGAATAATATAGCCTGCTCAAACTCTCCTAAGATCCCAACTGATATCTTGCTATCTTTCTTAAATTTATTAGGGATGACACAGTAATTTCAACTCTACACCAAATTAGCAAGTAGTGCAATTTACACCTTTCTTAATGTAATCGTTGTCTCAAACTTAGAAGTTTACATTCAGAATACTGTTGTCACAATAAATAATTTTTTAAATTAAAATTGTGCAGAATATTTTGTGTTCAAAATAACACTGATAACAAAATCCAGACATACTCGGTCTTCCTGGACCATTGAAGTTCTACCTAACAACACATGTAAAGCTGCACGGTTTCTTCTTTCTCTCTAGGAATGACTCTTGAAAGACTAGTATTTTATAAAGTCAGCTGGTAGAAAACATTGCAATATATGTTGACAAACAAACTTCAATTTAACTCTGTTATGTTTTGTAAAGTTTCTCAAAGTATTTCAGGTCCTTCCCATGTCAGCAACCTTTAAATGGTCAGCAGAATTTTTAATGAAAAGGCATACCTATATTTTGCAGGAAAAAAACAACCATCCAAGAATGAAAAGTTAGTAAAAGGTTTCCCCAAAAGCACTCACCTGAAATGAATCAGTAATTAAAATGCACACACTTTGTGGACTGTTTTACATGCAGGAGACAGAGCCCTAGCACAGCGGAAAACAGGCAGCAGAATTGGAACAGCCCAGAAACAACACTAAGGCAAAGTCCATAAACAAATGCAGAAGGAGTTGTATCTCCTAATGAGGAAAACAAAGCTCAGGCTTCACCTTCCCCTCAGGCACGCTGCCCCTGCTATTCCTACCTAGACACAAACCCCCTTATTTTATCTTTTTACACTCTGAAGCCTTGCAAACTCGCTACCCGGGTAGCGCCCGCGGGCGGGTCCCAGGCTGTGGCTCACCCGCCCGGCTGCTGCCGCGCACCCTCCGCGCGGTCGGAGCTCTCCGCGCGCTGGGGGATGCTGCAGCGGCCCTTCAGGCTCTTTCCTAAAACCTTTCGCACTTCACGCATCTAAACGCGCTCACTCCCTCGAAGGGACGTAAACACAGAGTAACACACGCTAAAAGTGAATAATAATAATAAAAAGTAACAGGAATATTTAAAATATTGTTTAAATGCGCTCCCCGCCGCTACCCACAGGGAGGGGCGCGGAGTCCCCGCACCTGCCAGAAGGCGCCCTCCCGCCCGCTAAGGGAGCCGGGCTCCCCGCTCACCGCGGACAAGCCGATACGGTAACACCGGGAACCAGCCCCGCCGCCCCGTTCGCTCTCTACTTGCCCGCCGGCCACTGGCGCCCCGCTCGCTCCCTACCTGCCCGCCGGCCGTCGCCGCCCTCACTGCCGCGCCGCCCGCCGGGGCCGCCGACACCTGCTGCCCGCGGGGCGGGCGGACGGGCAGCACCGGCGGCCAATGGGAGGGCGGCCGGGCCGAGGCGGGGGCCGGTCTGTGGGGCCCGAGGGAGTCGCCCTCACTGAGGAGAGGGGCGCAGCGGGTGGGGTGGGTGTCCGTGAGCGCCCGAGTGGGGGTCTCTCAGTCAGCACTGAGGGTTCCTCCTCGCCGCCCCGCAGGCCGGGGCCGCTCCCCCCATCGCTTTAAGCCTCGCTTTAAGCTGTGCCCTGAGGGTCCCCTGGAACCGCGGTCCGCTCCCTGTCGATGGCTGAGCTCCGGCAGCCCCTCAGCTTCAGTGCCGGGAAACGGCTGTGGCTCGGCCCCTGCTTTGGTTGTCACCTATCCGTGCGCTGCCCCGCGAAGGAGAGCCCTGCTGGGGCGGCGAGGCCCCCGCGGGCGGCCATTGGAAACCGGGCGCTGAGCCGCCGTGGCCGCGCTCGCCTCTTGTAGCGAAGGGGTTAAAGCTGAGCCGCGCCACTGGGGGGCGCAGCCGCCCGCAGGACAGCGGAGGAGTTTTGGGTCCTGCCAGACGCCGTCGCGCCGTTCCCGCCTCAGCGGCGCGCGGCCTGTTTCAAAGCGGAGCCATGGCTGAGCAGGGCCTGGAGATGGCCTCCATGATCCCGGCGCTGCGGGAGCTGGCCAGGTAGGACCGACCCAGCCCCCCCTGTGTGTGGGGGGTAAGCGTAGCCGGCCTCGGTATCAGTGTGTGGAGTGGGGAGGTGGAAAAGTAGGTTCCTTCCTCACCGCTGTGCGAGGTTCCCCGGGGCTGGGCCTGTGACTTCCCCTCATCCTGGGTGCCTTCTCCTCTCGCCACCTGCCTGGCTTGTTCCTTCCCTCCTTTCTCTCCCTTCCTCCCTCACGGGGGACGCTGGTAGAACCGGGCAGGAGGGGCGTGTTGGTCTGCATAGCACCCCGCGTCCTGGGGACTTGCCTTGTGTTTGTAGCGTGGTGTTGGGTAAGCGACCCCACTTTTGGGACAACAGAATCAAACGATCTTGAAAAGCTTTGGTTATAAAGTTTTAATGGAAGCATCAACACCGCAGCTTCGTTTTGTGGTAGGCAGCTGGAGGGACAATTGTGTGTTAAAGGTCTGATCTGACTAGTTATCCATCATCTTAGTCACCTGAGAAATTGCTGTTGACACCTCGTATGCAGGGTGTTGGTAGTTAATCAGTTCAGTTATTTTGGTTAATTCCAAAAGTGGAGCGAGCATTTATTTTTGTTGCACCAAAGCTGGTTTGTTGCTTGGTAGTAGCATATGTATAAATCCCTTAATCTGCCAGATGTAGGTTTAATATATATCAAACATAATTGCATACAAAAATTAAGTGATCTTCAGGACTTCATGAAACTTTGTACTTCTGAAGAACAACTGAAAACAGGAACAGGCAATATGCTGGTCGCTAAAACAAGAAATAAATTTGTATTTCTTTTTGAAGACTTCTAGAAGAAAAAAATAATCAGTGTCTAACATTCTGTTGTTGAGATAGACTTCAAATAATTATTTAGTATTTTAAAATGGATAATGTCAAAATAATTTATTTTTAATTTTAGTGCCAGTCCAGAAGAATACAATACAGCTGTGCGCAAACCAAGACAAATACTCTGCCAGTTCATTGACAGAATTCTTACAGATGTAGATGTTGGTAAGTGTACATCCCGATTTTTAAAAATTGTTGTCTGCTTTATGCTTTCAGTAATTCCTGCCAAAAACCAAAAAGTTACAACTCTCATTTCAACAAAGATTTAGGAGTTGAATACAACACTTCTCATAACTTACTTTTTAATAAATTCTACAATGAAGTGTTTACTGTTATGATATCAAGTAACTTAAGTCGGTTCTAGGACTATAAATGCTTGCAACGTTGCAAATCAATTGTATCATGTAATATTATTGTTCATTGAGATAGATAGTTTGCAAGTCTTAATACCCACAAGGTGTTTCAGAATTGAAATACTTTAATATAAACAGCTTTATTTTCAGTTTTAGAATTCTAACAAAGTCTTGTTTTAGTACTTCTTAAATAATGTTAAGGTTCCAATTACTACAGTAATTTAACAACAGTTTTCTTATTATGAAATCCATATGGTACAAAATTATAATTTGTAGTTATCTGTACGTTTGTATCAAGGAGAATCACAGTATGGGTTTCCATACTGTTTCCAAGGTTTCATGTAGCTGTCTCAGTAAGACTGATATTTTGTCTAGTAAATTGATCAAGTATCATACCCACATTGTTCTCCAAATGATGTGGTTTTTAATTCTATTGTAGTCCTGAAAGGGACAATTGTGTGTTTAAAAATGAAATTGTTAACTGTTTGTTATTCTTCACTCATTAAACTGCTGGTTATAAGACTAACTAAATGTTAATGCATGTACTGTTATGAATAATATTTAAGCTGAGTAATTTACATTTTTCTTTGTACAGTTTGGTGTCACACAGCGGGTTTATAATATGCATGAAATCATTATAGTGAATTAATAAAGCACACTCCCAATTGTTAATTATACAGTTTTAATACTATATCATAGTATTTTACATTCTTTAGGTGTGAACAAAATTTGTGAAGTTGATTTATTGCCATGCTAATTCAGAAATGTGTCTCCTTTTCTTTTAAAGTTGCTTTGGAACTGATTAAGAAATCAGATTCACAGCCAAGCTCTGTGATGTTGCTTGATTTTATTCAACATATCATGAAATCTTCCCCACTTATGTTTGTAAGTGTGGATGGAAATCAGGAGGAAACTGAATGCAGTTGCATTGGTAAGTTTGCTGAAAATGTTTATGTTGAAGCTTGGTTATTTTCAGGATTTATTTTTTTTTGACAATGGCATCATACAAAAGAACAAAAATAGGAAAAAGGCAGATTCATAAGTTCAGCATTATGAATTTATAAGTGAATATTGTCATAGACTTTTAATATTGTGAATGCAGTTGTGATAATGAAAATTTTTAAGGACAGAGTTTGACCTTATTCATTACCATTGCTTTGCGGTATTTCCTGGTTCATGTTGATGTATCTTGTACAGATAATCATTGCCTGAGGGTGTTTTTGACAGAGGAAAAATGTCTGGAACTACCCAGAATAAAATGTCTGTCCTTTTTCCATGTCCCACTGCTGTCATGCACGCCATTTTCTTCTTCAACCTCTCCTTTTCTTCTTTTTCAATAAGGTCTGCTGAAGAAATATCCCAGTGAGGGCTCTCTGTTTACTAAGTCTATGTGCATTTATCTAAAGGAGTTTTCTTTTGTTTTACTGATGAGCAACCTGCTCTCAAAGAGGTGCTCGTAATAGGAAGTTTTGGGTTTCATATTAATAATTTTCTGGTTTTTGTTTCTTTTTTTTTGTCCTAGAATTTAGTAACTGGATCATAACAAGGCTTCTCCGAATTGCTGCAACTCCAAACTGCAACGCATTGCACAAAAACATCTGTGATGTCATTTGCTCTTTACTTTTTCTGTTTAAAATGAAGAATTGCTCCATTTTTGAAGTACTAACAAAAGACTTGCTACTGCTTTTCCAAGACTTAATCTTCCTGCATGAAAGAGATGCACAAAAGCATCTTTGGGGAGATGTACTGGTCTGGCCAGTTACTGTAAAGAGATTTTCAAGCAATACAAGTGACAATGTGGGATATTTAAGATTGGCACCATTACAGCTGATGGGTATGCCCAATGTAGAATGTTTGGAAGTTATATTAATGTCTATTCTGACAGATATTGTTGCAGATGTGTTTTTTGTAAGACAAGATGTTATTCTCTGGGGGATAGGCTGCTCCCTGTTGGAGTATGGCACTCCAAAAGTTAAAGTTTTGGCAGTGAAGTTTTTAGTAAAATTAATTCATTTAGGAGGGCCTCCAGAACAGCTGGCCAGTGTTTTCTTCACAGTTTTTTTTGGAATTCTACAGTCAGTACTTGAAATGGATACTGAAGAATCAGAACTGTTTGGAGAACCGTTCTTACAGTTGGTGAGGACATTGTTGCCTTTTGAAGCAGATTCTTATAAAAATATTGAACCTGTCTACTTGAACATGCTACTGGAGAAGCTCTGTGCATTGTTTGAAGGCAATGTGTTTAGGTGTCTTCAGTCTGAAAAGCTGAAAGCTGCTTTTTGCCATATACTGCAATATTTTCTGGAGTTTGTTCCCACTGGCTATGAATCTGCCTTACAAGTAAGAAAAGTCCGTATCAGTACCATATGTGGAATTTTTGTGAATGTTCTTGGAACTCAGGAAGAACAAGAGGTAGGTTAATTTTAAACGCTATATTTGTCATGTGAATAGATAATATACAAAATCCTACATCTATACAAAGAAGAAAATCTAGGAAATACTATTATTAGTTGCATAATTACATTGATACTCCTTGTTTTCTCAGCTATATATTCTCAGCTATTAATGGCTTTAAGCTGGGGGGGAACAGATTTAGACTGGAGATTAGGAGAGGGCGCTTCACTGTGAGGGTGGTGGAGCACTGGAACAGGTTGCCCAGGGAGGGGGTTGAGGCCCCTTCCCTGGAGATATTCAAGGTGAGGCTCGATGAGGCCCTGGGCAACCTGGTCTAGTTGGGGGTGTCCCTGCTGACTGCGGGGAGGTCGGACTAGATGACCTTTGGAGGTCCCTTCCGGCCTGGACAACTCTATGACTCTATGACTTTGAGAAGTAAGGCATAATATACATCATGGTACCTCTGCTGTTGTTCCATCCCAGTATCTGGTGAGTCCACTTTATACAGCATTAAAAACACAAACGGAAGAAATCTTTCAGGAGCTTCATCAGAACCAGCTAGATACTTCTGATACTGATGGGTGGAGCAGCAGCAGTGATGAAGTTCCAGAGAAAAAGCGACGGCTAAGCCTACAAACAAAGCATCCAAAGAAATCACCTACACCAGTAATGTATGACACTTATTCAATAACTACTTTTATAATAATTTGGCTAGTGAATAATAACAAATGACAACTTTTTTGAGGCAGTTTCTTCATGCCATCCACATTGAAAGATCTTCTGGGAAAAGTTCTAAATGGTATTTTGAAGGATCAGAATCTACAGATGATTTCTAAGCCAAACTTCTGACAAAGAGACTATGTTTTTAATAAGTTCAATGTAAATTCATTTTTACACACTGAGAACAGAAAAGCTGAGAGAATAGATAGAGAAAGATGGAATTACGTATGTGGCTATGCAGTTGCCCTGGACATGCTTAAAACAGGTTTAGTTAAGTCAGGTCATTCTCTGATGATCAAAGCCAGCTCTCTCAGCCTCTGGTTGTGCTGTGTTCCAACTCCTGATTATCTTGGACTTGCTCCAACATGTTGATCTCTTTCTTCTATTTGGGCACACAAAACCGGCTCCAGCATGCTGTACTGCAGGTGTGGGCTCATGATCAGCCTTTGCTCTTGATAATACAGCCCAGTATGTAG